GTCATGCTCTCCAAGAGTCATGATCCATATGAAAAGACACATCTTTTCATCTACATTCTCTAGAATATTCCACAATATTCTACACAATTCCAATAATTTCAAGTATTAAGTGGTTTAAGTTTGGTTTAATTTCTCATTCACCAAATAAGGAATTTCCACTTAAATCATTTCAATTGGTCACAACCAATTTCCAATACAAAAATTTCAACAATTATTACATATTGTGGATAATGTGTGGAAGATCAAAAATGATGATTATGCATTGAGATTTTCTTATGGATGAATGAAGGGAGAGATGAATTTGGGGGAGGGTTTTGGATTGGAATACGATTAGAATCGTTTTTGGGGATTTGGGGATAATTTTACCGCGTTAAAGGCGTGTTTGTTGCTACCATTAAGGGCGTGTTTGATGGGGGCATTATTTAAGGGCAAGATCGTTGGATCAAAATCAGCATCATAAATGGTAGCTGACTTAATTTGTTATTTTTTAACATTTGAATTTTACTATGAAAAAATAGTATTTGTAGGGAAAAAAAGTTGAAAAGTATAATTTAAATATTTAATTAAAAACAGGTATGTGGCATAATTTCCACAGCTTATTTGTTTAGGTTATTTGTGTAACTTTATTTTAAATTACGGCCCAACTATGGTGCCCATGATTTGGGCCTGGGCCCATAATTTAAAAAGCCTCAATGTTATTTAAAGTGTGAGCCACTTTCCAGTTAAACATTTTTAAATTTTTATTATGTTAAGTATTAAATTTTTTATTTCCTAAAAATATTTAAAACTCAATTAATAGGGAAATTGTTTGAAAACAATTGTCGCTAATATTTAATAAGTGACAAACTGACAATGTGACATATGTCGATGTAATAATCAATAAAAACTGAGTGCTATTGTAATGCTTACAATTTGAATTTACTTAAAAATAATTCATGCAACCAACTCTCCGTTGTCTCGAGGCTCAAAATTCCAAATTCTGTGCATTAGTGCATGCACAATGAAACACTGCGTGAATAAAAATTTGCAAGCTATGGGTGATGAGGCCTGCTTCTATTGTATAATTTTTTTTTTTTAATTTTTGTTTAGTCATTCGTAAGAATTTAATAGTTTGATCATTTTTCCGTTCATTAAAAGTCATGGTCAGGTCAGCTAACTTGATATAGCATACACTGATAAGGAATGTAAGGATTCTCGAGGAGCGGAAAGTCTTATAGCTCAACTGACTAGAACTTGTATATTCATATAAGAGGTCCCAGTTTCGAATCCCTTTGCCAACAATTTTATTGTGAAATATTGTTAATTCTACATTTTTTACCAAAATTAAATGAAATAAGAGAGGGGATTGAACCATTGACCTCTCCGTAAGATATTGAACGCTTGTGGCACTCATGGAATTTGATACTGAATTTACCAGAATAATATATGTTATATTTTAGCGGTTTTAATGCAATTGTAGAAATTCCACCCGTGCTCTTCCTTTGAATTATACAAAATATGGCCACAATATCTTTTGGTGAATATTGTTAATTTTTACATATTGTTATATTTAAATTTTAAACCTCATTTGATTTTCCTTTTTTTCAAAATACATTTTTTTCTCGTCTTTCAACAGCATATTTTTCAATAAAATAATATTACATGTAAATTCAAATTTTTTCCTTATTTTTAAACACACATTCTCCATCAAATTACTATTCCAAATATATTTTTTGCAAAAAAAAAATGGGCATCAAACGGGGCTCTTAATATTTTATTGTTTACAACGGTCGACGATCCATGGTTGCCTGTGCTGACTCGAAATCTTGGGTCCACCACTGTGCAGATGTATAGCTCAGTGACGTAGAACAAAAAATCGTTTAGTTCAATTTGGATGGGAATTGTGAAGAAGTTCTTAATTTACTAATTTATCAAAGATTGGAGATATAAACCAAACAAAAAAGAATAATGTTAGAAGTACATAATGATGTACATAATGGTGCACATAATGGTGATGTGTCAATCATCTAGTTGTTGATATGTAAGTGTGAAATTTGAATTAAAGGTTGAATTATATGCCACGTGTAATTATGTCAACCCTTATGTAGATGCTTATGTACCTGTAGCATTACTTAACAAAAAATTCATTTGGAATAAGAAGAGTCATGTTACATTACATCTTGCTCTACATTAACTTGTACATTTTTTCATATGTCAATATCATAGCCTTTGATTTTTTTTTTTTCAACACATTTTCATATCACTGCCCAAATTATGTCACATAGGGGGCAATGTCATGGAAGATGTACACAAGAATGTAGCAAAAATTTTGGAATAAAAGAAACTCGAGCTAGAATAAAGCTTCTTGTACATTAATTAGTTGACATGGAGTTTGACACTCCATGTATTTTCAAATGCAAATGGATGGGAATGTGTATTTTATTTTAAAACTGTCTACTCATGCCACAATACATGGTACGATGTCAAATTTGATGTCAAATGAAGTGTACATGTAGTATGATTGCTCTAGCCAAATGTTGGAGACTAAATTTGCAATTTACCCAACTGTAATTGACTTAACTGTTGAACAACATAAGCAAATTTGAAACAGTTGGATGCGTGAAGAAGGTTAGGTTTTGGTTAGTCACGTGGCCAACCCAGGTATGCTTGTGTCGTTTCTCTTTCACAGCCACCTAAGCTGTCTACCATGAAATTTCTCCTCTCCTTCTTCCTTCACTTTTCAAATCGTCAGTTTATTTACCTACAAATACAATCACATACCAATGGTGGGACCCACCATTGTCTCTCAATTATTTTTCATTACTTACCTATCTACACCATTTCCTTTTCCGAGAAATTTCCTCCCATAATCAATTCGAGAAAAATCAGAATTCTGGAAGAAAACACTCAAAAAGCTGTGATAGTTCTTATTTTACATAATCACTTATTTCTGCCTAATAAATAGTCATCTCAATGGCTGGTATGCTTCCTGGAGTTGAATCTGCAAGAAGAAGAAGAGTCCATTCTGATTCTCCAACCCCATCTGGTTATAACTTCACAAGGCGTTCGTCTTTTTGTTTATATACAAGCAATCATGAAAACCTTCACAATTCATCCTCTTCCATGGTACTAAAATCAAAATAATCTTATGGGATTTTATATGTATATTTTTGAGGGATTTTTATGAAATTTCTGGGTTTATATTTTCTGTTGAAAATAACAGAGGAATCCGATAAGCCAGGCATATTGTGATGAAAAGCTAGGGGATGTGGCTAGAGAAGCCAAGAGAAGGTTGGATGAGAGGCTGAAAGCACAGTCGACATCAAAAATCAAAAGGTAATACCTTTGAGATGACATACTATGCTTATAAGTTAAAAAAAAATGCAATTTATTTTTTCTTTCCGTGAAAAGTAGAGTAACTTTTAGGCAATTTTTGGAGAACTCAATTTTTGGTAATTTAAAGATTCATTTTTCATTAGAATTGATGAAACCATTTAACAAGACAACCACAATAAAAATGAAAAAGTAAAAAGTTAGAACGAAATATTGTAATATTTGATTACTATAAATTTCAAGATTCGAATTTCATCATATTTTATAAAGCACACACAATCTTGATTTTGATTTTTGGAGAATTAACTATATTCCCTCAAAACGCAATAGTCATGATTAGATAAGATAATAAATAAACTTTATTCGCGTGTTCAGATGTATTCTTCTTGTATTGTATGTTAGGGATGAGGAATAAAGAAAGATATATAACTCTTGACGTCCTCTATAGTTCAATCCGACTCAAACATACAAACATACAGTTGTATACTATCAAGTCCGCTCTAGTTGAGCGGGCAAAAAATGTTCTCATATATATTTTTTTTTTTACATGCAAAAAAATGCAGAAGATCAAATTTTCATCAAACTAATTTTATTATTTTCACATTTCTTAATCAAATGTAGGGTTTCGAGTCCTGCAATTGAAGGGACAGAAGTATTTGGATTAAAGAAAAAGTTTAATTGGGCAAAATTAAGCTGGAAATGTACAGAACAAGAGGAATGTGCAGTGTGTTTAGAGCATTTTATGGCAGGAGACACCCTAATGCAGTTGCCATGTGCCCATAGATTCCATTCAAAGTGTTTGGTGCCATGGCTGGAGAGTAATGCACATTGTCCTTGTTGTAGAATGGTAATTCAAAATTGAAAAAAAAAATGATGTCACGGATTTCGAAAATAAAGCTACGGAATTCGATGTTGGATAAGTATAGTTTAATTTTGTTGTTTACTTTCTATTAACTTTTTTTTTTCTTTTTTGACTACGAATGGACCTTTGTATGGTCGACGTAGATAGCTCCCCTAGTTTGGAAGTTCAGGTTTGGGAGTTTTTGAGGTGAAGTTTTACACCTATCCACGCTGCTTTAGGCAAAAAAATCAATTTTTTGGTCCAATCATGTGGGACCCATGATGTTTATATAGAGTTTTGTTATCGTGATCGTCTCAATGACAGCGTTAAAAAATTGGAAAACGTGTGATGCAATATCATTGGATACTTAGAAGAAAAAAAAAAAATAACAACTATGGTGCTGTCAACGCAGCACCCATCACTTTTTAGACTTTGTTTGAGCAGCGTTATTGATTTATTTAATGGTAAAAAAATGGTTAACCTCCATTGACGAAGTCTATTTTGTCTTTCCAATAACGCTTGTCTATGAATGGAGAGGGGCAAAATAGTAATTATGCAAAACAATTCTAGAGTAAATTTGACATTTTGTAAAAATTATGTCTGAAATTCTGAATCCTTTAATCCTACTCATACTTCCATATTCTAAGTTCATATTTTTTAGTTGTAAAAAATCTCCTCAGATCTATCAAAATCTAACAGATTTTGCGAAAAAGCCGTACCGGACATGATCTCAATATTGTAGGATAACGTGGATAGTTTGTACTTGCATTCAATCGTTTTATATTTTTTCTTTATATAAAGATATAAAGGTGAACTGTTGTTTTTGAAAAAGAGAGAAAAGAGTAGCGTGAGTTCACAAACCATCATCTCCTTCATTGAAAAGGTGAAACCTATCATTCCAAGAAAATATAACTCCAGTGAAAAACACTTTCCATTATCATTATAGGTGATTGGTTAAAGTCAATGTGCTTGATGAAGAGAAAAATAAACTTTTTAAAGTTGTTTTAGAGAAACTTTAATTTCTAAATTCGAGTTTTATGGGAAGTGGAAATATGTCAATCAATGCATGAATTATTCTTGGAGAAATTGCATTTGTACATAAAATCCCCCCACAGACATGCAATAGATACTCACATGGATGTGCCCCTTGTGAGTTAAATATTGGAAGCATGCTATATGGCCAGGCTCAACGACAATAAAACACTTCCAGAAGACACACAGTATTTCATTGGAGAATGAGAAAAAAAAATCATAAAAGCACTCAATCATGAGCTGCCACATCAGTCTGTTTTTTTTTATCCCTGTTTGATCAGAATGACACTAAATATTGCAAAAAAAAGGGCCCCACATGTGTGTGCGCGCTTTGTTGCATTTTTGTATGTGTGTTCTATACACAACAAAACTCTTCTTTCTTGATATTGCATTTTGGTAATAATAATTAATAACTAAAGGAATATACTTTCAAAATTTAACCATCCATGGGGAAACATAAGTGAGTTCATGATTTGATTGTTTGATGCAACGACTTCGCAAGGAATGACCACATGAAATGGACACATCACGACATTATCATTATTCTCCATTATATTCTCTCTCTTTTTTTGTTATGAACCCTTGTTCGAGCTCCATTTTTTAAAAAATTCGCTATTTCAAAATTCATTTTTTATCACACTTTCTACAATAAAATAATATTATACTCAAATTTAAAATTTTTCCTTATTTTTTAACCATACATTCTCCAACAATATACTATTCTAAAATGCATTATTTCTCCCAAATGGAGCTCAAACAAGCGCTCGATTAGAAAATACAAGATCAGTCTGAATTTAGTCTAACTATAAGTAAAAAACTCTAAATTTAAAAGAGTTTATGAAACGACATTTTTATTACTTGTTCAACTACTCACCTTTGTCAAGTAAATGTCCGTTCTTATTTTTGAAGCATTGTCACACCATTATTTATTGATTTAAAAATAAACTTTTATTAGGAGAAAATATCATAATTTTTTGAATTTTGCTGTATATTGTTGTTAAATATCACTATCTATGTATTATGGTCACCAAATAATTTTGTCGGTAATGGGACCAAATAAGTTACAACTTCGGGGACGATGCATAAAATAATTAAAGTGTAAGTGACAACAAATGTGACATCTTCGATGAGAAATATGTAGCAATAATTATGAAGTTATCTTGATTCACAATTTCACATTATAAATATCATGAGTTGTTTTCTTATATAAATTCATATTTGTTTAATTTTTTGTAATTTTATTTATATACTTTTACCAACCTTCAATCAACAAAAAAGGGCAAAAAAAAAAGTCAAGTTTCAATCGAAAGGTTTCAAATGGAACATATTTTTCGACTCCTATTATGATATCTCGACATGCTTCGACTGAATAATTATTTTCTTTTATAAAAAACGAGTAGAAAGGTATAATATTGAATATATTATATCTTCTACTCTAAAATTGAGTTATGATTTATTTTAAAACATAATTGTTGCTCATTTAAATTTATAATCGTGACCCTCATGAGATTAGACTACAAATTGACCAAGTGTCGAGACAACAAAAGTATTACACTATTTTTGTGTCCAAAATCTGCCCAAAACTTGTGTGGTCAAAAGATGGGTGCTAATGTGCGGACAAAAAATAACATAGGCATAAATAAAAATAGACAATGTTCGAATAAATTTATCTATAATGCAAGGTGACGTAGACGCATGAAATTTTCAAGAGACTCCTTGAAATATGAGATGCTCTCTATTTTAAAAAGTCAACATTTAAAATCATGATTCAAGAGATTCTTTAAATTAACATTTTAATTTAGAGAGTATGTTTGACTCTCCAAATTTGGAGAGCTAAACTCACTCTCTATAATTAAATGCATTCAAAGTGTTTCAATTTTCAATGTATGAAAACAATAAAATAATTTAAAGAAAAGTTAGTTAAAATAAAAAATAAACAAAAATAATAAATATTTTTTGGGAGTAGTAAAATTAACTGTTAAATATAAAGAGTTTGTTGGGGTACTTCAAAATTTTAACTTTCTAAATTTATAGATGCTCTCCAAATAATAAAATGCGTTCTTTAAAAATAGAAAATCTATTGGAGGTGCTCTTATACAATTTTCAAAGCATGCCACATGAAATTTTCATCATTAAGTCTGTTGACTTTTAAAACAACGAGTAAAAACTTTAACATTTTTGTAAGGTCATTGGCAACTAAAAACACTTTTAGGGTGTGTTTGATAGGCTTCAAATTCTATGGATTTTCCAATATTTGTCATGTTTGATACCATTTCTTTTTTCCATGGAATTCATTTTCCATTTTGAGCCCACACGCGCACCATTTTCTCATTTTCAAGGAATTGATTTCCCACATTTTGGTGGGAAATCTGATTCCAGATTTTTTTTTTTTTTTTTATAATTTTTTTGGTAATGGATACAAATTTCATAACCAATCGTCAAAAAAATTACTTTAATAGACAATTTACATGTTAAACAAAGTCAAACGAACACCAAACTTTGATTAAAAATTTCATTTTTTTTTTTTTACTTTTTGGTAATGAAAGCAAATTTTATAATCACTTGTGTAAAAAAATTTCACTTTAGTGGACAATTTTCATGTAAAACAAAGCTAAACGAACACAAAATTTTAAAAAATTTTAGATGGAAAATTATACCAATCAAACACACTCAATTAATAATTCCCTGAAAAATAATTTCAAGACAATTACTTTCCCTAAAATTCATTTTCTTTCCACCCATTTTCTACCCTTACAATCAAACGGACCCTTAAAATTTAATACCAACTGAAAATTTTGAAAAAGTACATTAACAACTCAAAAAAAGATTTAGCGTTCAGTGAGAATTGAAAATATTTGAAAAAAAAAATTCCGTGTTAACTCTAATATTTAACCCCGCTAATTACATGACCCAAAGTTCAACTCATTTGGGTCTATTTCTACCTTGTCATGAGACTGTAGCCGAACGATTCCAAACACAAGTACAAGGAGACTGTCATTTGACATGTTCCAAAAGGCGGCCACAACAAATGAGAGGGGCATATTCAGCCCTTGTTTGACATTCGTTTTTTTCTCATTATTTATTTCAATCACACATTCTATCAATAAAATAATATTACACATAAAATTCTTCTTACTTTTTAACTACACATTTTTTCATCAATCACTATTCCAAATCAAATTCTTCTACAAAATGGGTGTCAAACACAACTTAAAATACATGGATTTAAGGTTTCCACCTCAATCTATTGTATCCAACGATATCAGAGAGGTCGAATGCCGGTGATGTGGCGTGTCTGAGGACTGCACCTAAGCCTAATCCGATGCACGAGGGCTCGGTTTTATAGTAAATGGGGCACGGATTATACATGGAGAATGTTGACCTCTAAAAACGAGCCAAAAGAAACTCAAGCCTCACTCGTGTCCACATAAGTAGAAACCAAGTCACGCGTAAGAGGAATCACTCTTCAAGAAACAAGCCAATAAAGTGTTTGAACTCCGGAGTTAGATCAACACGATAGTAAAATAAAATATTTTTAGATCAAACTTCAACACCAAGCAAATAATATTGCATATGAAAAACTAGAGCGAGATAGGTGAAGCTTTTAGTATTTGGAATTGCATTAGTTTTAAAAAGATACAATGGAGGATATTTATAGCATTGCAGTTGAAGATGTTTGTGTTGGATGAAGCATAGATGGCTCCTTCTGCTTCATCTAAGCCACTGGGACGCCCCATTACTCACTTGCCCTAGGCTGCACTTGAGTATTTGGGAAAGGTGGAGCCTCCCTATGGTTTGTGTCAACACTCTTGGTGAATAGACTGACAGGATTTGACTTGTTTAGGCTGCGGGTTGTCACGTCAATCTCATTCACTAGATCCTCAAAAGATATGGGGAACCATCTTTGATCGAAACCCCTAGACGTTGGGGAGCTTCGGTGAGGGGCTTCGTCCATTATGTGTGGGCTTCTGTCATTGTGCATCCTCATTTACAGAGTTCCATGTGAAGTGCCACGTGGGCAACAACTTGAGCTCGTTGCCAAGGCGTAACAAATAAGCTCTACATAAAAAGTTCAATAAAACCATCATAGTGAATCATGGCATGTCTCTTGCATATGCCATGACCAAATTCTGAGAACAATCTCCTGCAAGAATATATGATGCCTCAAGGTACATAGTATTGGACAACATAGTACACTACAATGGATAAAAAATCAGTTTCTTTTTCTTCTTTAACACGTTACCAAATAAAACATTAGAGCGGATGCATTTATGCAACTAATTTCAAAGTTCATGGAAATAAGTTCAATTGTTGCTTTCCAACAGTCCACCTTGCCAAACAAGTGTTTAAAACTGAATTCACATTTCCAAATGTAAGCGCTATTCTGCAGAACAGTAAAAGAAGTTTGGACGATTGCAAAATACATATCAGATAATAAATCATAAAAGCTTGCCCGGTTTGGGACATTCCTTTCATTCCAAATACAGCAGAAATACAAGACCTGACAATTCCATGACTGATGATCACAGTCGATAACAAAGAAACTAACCATAAGCCCATATAATACTGGTCAATTGAATTTGCTAATCCAAGCACCTTCATAACCAAAGAATTTCAGAAGAGTCAGAAGTTTTCCTTCTCTTTTTTTGGGCACGCAATATAATTACAGATTTTACAACTAAGTGAAGACTGTTATTTAAAAAACTAGTTCCATTCAAAGGTTATAGATGAATGTTACATTGTGAGAGAAATACAAACTCATGGGCTATATAGCAACCTCATTTACATAGCTATATACAAAATGTACTAAAGAGAAGGGGTTTCCGAGTTCGAAACAGAGCCTTCTGGGAAGCCTTCGCGAACATCCCCCCGGCAGAGTGGGCAAACACTGGAGCACAGGCACATAATTTACATCTAGATATTGAAAAAATTAGAAGGCAAAGGGGTGGGGGTAGGGTATAGGGAAAGAACTGCATCAATGTCACATACCCATGAATCTCCTTCAGCCATTTATCTACACATGCCATGTGATACTCATGGCGACATGGAAGAACTCGAATTTTGTCTCCCTCCTCGTACTCAGCTAGGCAAATGTAACACCTGCAAGACATAGTTTCATCATAAGGTAAAACTAAAAGCTATGGCGAACAACCTGCAAATATAAACAACATACCATTAAACATTCACATAGAATACTGTGTGACAAACAGTAAATGAATTATCACCGGAAAACCAGTCATAGCAGAAAAGAATAACATTTTCTTTGTAGTCCATCAATATCAAAAATGGGCATGTTTCAAAAGATATGATCGTAGATATGAAAAAATAACATACACGATCTGAATTCCATAGTTTTAGTGATTTTAATTGCACTGTTGAATGCAATCCATCCCTTTTTGGCTACAGCTATTGGCATCTTAAAAGAACTGCTAAAAAACAATCTCCTCTCCTGAGTGGTTACTTCTCTAACCTTTTTCTAGGGTCGAAACATTTTCAAGCATAATTAGCAAACAATGTGAGAAAAAAAGAATTCAAAAGAATTGTCACCAAATTATCTATTTATTTCGTCGTAAAATTTAATATAGTGACTCTCAAATTTTACGAAGTTTACTCTTTCATTATTTGGTTTCCTCGTTTCGGGACATTGTCATTTTTCCATTATTCATAACCAAAGCTCTCCATGAGGTGGGCACTCTTGAACAATCGAATTAGGTAAGAGAATGTGACTTTTTCTATCTCCCATTATTTAGTCTCCTCCAAGAATTGTTTCTCTTTCTTTTATATAGTTTTCTTGCCAAGAGGTGCTGCATCACCCTGCTTGGGTTTCCTTTCTGAGATGCCAAGAAACCCAATTGATTAGCCCATCCCCATCCCTTTTGTTTTTCCCTTTTTTTGGGATCTTCCAACCTCTTTGAGCATGATCAATTAAAAAGGCAGGGGAAAACATACTGCTGATTATCGTCTCCACTTTGCGATTTTTCTGGCTTTCTGTGAGTCTTCTCAGGAAAAGAGTCAACCACTGATTCTGGAGCTGGAAGTGAGACCATAGACAAGGAAAGTGACATTGGTTGTCGATGAATTTCATCCAGTACCTGCATTTTGCAGATACTAAATTAGCTTCTTCAATTAGGACACATCAATAGAATGTTTGTTAGCATATAGGGTTTTGCTCATAACTTATTGGAGATCTCGAATATAAATATAATTTCTTACTCATTGTGAGAACGTAATCGTATATTAAAGAGATGCATCCGATAACAAACTTCATTCTGAAAAGATTATCTTTGCAAAATTTAATTGGCTCCAATAAACAAACTTCATCAACATAGCTGATAAGGAATAAATCGAGCACTCCTAAATAATTAGTGTGGACTACTATCAATGTTCAATGTATCATCCTCAGTATTCATGACATGTTAAGATTAAGTTTCAACCTCGCCCCTTAGGCTAGACTAGTCAAACACCAAGCTTTTCTTTCAAGCTGGTTGCTCTTAATAAATTTCTTTATGTAGTCATGCAGAAATGCCGACTTCTAACATTCCTTCCTTTTCGGCTGCTAATTTAGTAATTAATCAAACTGTCTCTAATGTTATCACTGACTCACTCTAGCAATAATTCTCTATAATCAAACCCTTGCTTCTGCCTATATCCTTTTACAGCAAGCGTCTTAGATCTTATTTTCCACGTCCTTTGGGACAACCTTTTTCAAGTAACTCATATTACTGAATTCTCTCTTGGCTCCGTTTAAATACTTTCCCTCTCCTGCAATTTTTTCTTCATCATAATGGCATATTTATGGTCTCTCAATTTCTTTCTTCCAAAGAGTTCACTTTTTTCAAGGATCTCTTTTCGTTCGTTTATATGTTGCAATTTCTCTTGTAAGCTCAGCTTTTTTCTCATTTTGTGATTGCCGTTCCTCCTCAAACTTGTTTCTACCCTGTTCCAAATCTTCAATTTTCCCAAAAAAGATTTTTCTTAGATATTTGTATCTTTTTGTCTCATGCTTCAATCCATTTGAAAACAGAGATGCTCTTTACTCTCATTTAATTCTCAGCATTCAGTTTCTTCACGAATCTGCAATTCCTTCTGATTAAGTTCAGCCCTCTTTAAATTGATAGCAGCCAACTGTTTGTTGAGAATCTTTTGATCCACTAAGTACATAGTAAATATGTTCCAGGTTTGTTTTGCTGATGTAGTGTTCGAAATTGTTTAAAAAATCTCTATAATTTCTGGTAAATCTTGGGAACCATACTAACACCTTCATTAACTGCAACTCATCCAGCTAAGTTCTGGCAGCAAAATATTATTTGATGTCATGTCTAACACTTTCTTCATCAAAACTCTGATGCCACTTCATAGGAAACAAAGGTGGCGGCACTCACAAGAACACTCTTAAGAGAAAAAGTTCATGCTCTTGAACAAATTAATTCTCATTCAAGTTCAACTTACTTTCTCTTACAATTGCTTCGATCCTTTTTTAATAGAAACCTAAGACTCCTACTTGTACAAAGAACATTCTATTTAATATGAACACATGAATCCCACATCTAATTCATGTAACCTTTATAGATAAATTTACGCACTCTAGATCTAAATACATTTTATGTGTATTCATGAATTCTATTAATATAATAGATTTGTGATCCTTCTCCTAGACTAAATAATAAACAGTCATTGTAGACTACCAATGTGCAATGTATCATCTTTAACATTCATAACGTCTGGATGAACTTCCAACATGGTCAACTTCAGAAGTTATCAAGAGGTTAACTTGCTGCTTTAAATACAATCAGCTTTAAAAGTCAAAACTATCAGCAAAAAATAAGCCAAAGATGAGCAAAATATGGCAGATAAATATTGATTGTTCAAAAAGAATTACCTCAAACAAGGCTTCAGCTAGCATGACAATTCGTGAAACACCAGCACGAGAACCAGATTCCTCAGATGTCAAACTGGACTGACATGAGCATGTGCTATCAGCGTGTATCCCTCTAGGACAAACTGCAATGCGTTGTTCACTTGGATCAAGACCACCACGAAGTCTTTCCCAGATCTGTACACAGTACTTGACCAAATGAGTGTGGAAAAATCATGTATTACACAAAATTACAACATGGTTATATGCCCCATCAGAACAGTGCTCTCGTTTACAGAGTGAAGGAGGAATATCCTCAAAGTAATGAAGTCTACATCTTAATTGCCCAAATTATATAGCATGAAATTATGCATTAACCAACAGCTGATATGATAGGTCTCGATTCCTCAAACAAATAAAGAGGAGTATGTATCTTAAATGTTACCTCAGATCTAGAACGCCGTCTTTGATCATTTATGCCTTGAGTCCTGCTTCCATAAGATCTAAAATCTCCCCCAACTCCACTATTAAAGAAGTCGCCACTAAAATCAAGAAGCCATCTGTCATGAGATCTCAACATATCAGAGTCACCAGATGGGAAAACAAAGGTTCTCGAATCTGTATGTCCTCTAGAACTGCGTCTTGAGAAAGCATCCCAAAATAGTCTTCTACTATTTCTTGTTTCACGACTGCTTATTTCAGCAGAACTACTAGGCAAAATATCAGAGGAGGTGCTCGGCACATCAACATGCAGTACACTTGTATCTTGCCTAGTGTATTCTCTTTCTGACATGGGATGTCCTAAAGCTGAAGGAATTACCTCCTGTGCAGTATCACTTCTTGGTGAATCGGCATGTATAGGTGACTCCGAAACAGCAGAAGCAGACCCAGAACAAGAATCAGAGAAAGAAAAATAAATTGCTTCATTGACATTATTTTCAACTGAAATTTCATCTGAGGAAGAATTGAGCCTGAGAGAAGGTGCATCAGTACAATCGGTCAGCCCTGCACCAAGTTGAGATGAATTTCCATTTATGTTGCTCTTTATCCCATTGACAGCATCAATAGTGGACCTTTCATTTGCAGATGCTGAAATAGAAGATGGTTGATTTATGTACGAAGTGCTGGCAGTTTCATGAGTCCTAGAGCTGATGATTGATTGATCAGAAGGAACTAATTCTCTACTTTCAGACAAGCATTTCCCTTTATCACTTGTGTCAGCATGGCTTGGACTACATTCAAGACCAGGATTCTCATTAGCAATCATAGGTCTTCCTGTTGGGATCCCATTTTCAGTTTTACAGTTGGCAAGGTCAGCTACGCTACCAAGGGGTGAAGCGGAATATTTTCTTGGGAGTTTGAGCTTTTCTGAATGATAATGTTCTGCAGAATTCACCAGCAATTCAGCTGGATCATCTTCCATCTACAGAAAACAAGTTAAAACTCATAGAATAACCTTTAACGCCTCATTTACCGATCACGTTTAGAAATGTTTATAATATAAGAACAAGAAAATATTTACCAAGAGTTGTGCCTGGTCCGTGTTTTCGATGTATCTTTTAAAATTTTAGAAGTCTTTTAACACAATTAACATTTGAAGACGGGCTTGTCAATGAAGTTTTAACATAGTTTTGCCCTGTTCTATTGCATGTCCAAATATGATGCAAGAACAGAAAGCATGCTAGATGGCTCAATTTAGCATAAGTTAACTCAAACCCCTAAATTTTCCTTATAGTATATGATGCACACTCAGACGAGAGTGAGACTCACTAATTTTCTCGTTTTAGGAAAAAAAAATTGATGCTTTGCCTAGCTGCCTGTGCAATTTTACAGTTATAGACTCCTAGTAAGTAATTAGGAGAGTACAACAGTCAAAGAAAAGGGGCATCATAGCAATGCTGATTGTTTGAATTTTTTTTAATTCAAATAAAATTAAGAAAATCACATTGCTTTTCAACCATCAACATATCTTCTTCCCCTACTTGCAGCATCTTCAATGGACATTGTTCAACAACAAAAAAAGGATCATGGAAACACAATAAAATTATTCAAGTCGAATGAAATACTTCATGTTACGAGCTATAAATCAAGCACCAGTTCAATAGAATCATAACGTAAAGGTAGTGAGCTTATTCTTAAACTGGAGAAAAATCAGGATCTCATTTCTAAAACAGTAGGTACTCCATTTGGATTGCTGAAAACATTGCTTGGATGTAAAATCTAACCTTATTCCTTTGAACAATCAAACAAATTCTTACCGTTTCAACTGCTGCAATTCTTTTCGAAGTCCAGTCTCATATAGTGAGTAAAAAATATTCTGTTGCCATATTTTTCAGGCTTCAAAATTTTTGGAAAAAGTTGTCTTCTTTCCGATAGTCAAATTTATTTCTACCCACTATTATTCAAATGCATCATAATCGCATTAAAAGTTTTAAAATAAATTGAAATTCACTTTACAATTTGAATCGCAATCATCTTCTTACGAAATGTATATCAACTTAAAAGGCATAAATTCTCAAAGAAATTTACTGGGGTTTTTTCAGAAACAAAAAACCATAAATTCATAAAAAAACAAGAATAAAGAAAACAATAAAAAACAAATCTATAACAATTAATGACACAACCCCAAATCTTATAAAACGGGCAATTCAGATTCAATTTCATTTCTAATGTGTGGGCTTGTACCTCGTCGGGAGACTGAGAAGAAGAGGCACCGCAAACAAGGATAGAGGAAAGAGAACGTTTGACGGTGGGCCGTCGGCGTTGGTGGGTCCCGGCCCCATCCCGAGGAGATTGGCAGGATCCCAGCCGGCTGCTGCCCGATCCCATTCTGATCAACTCCTCTTCTCCAACCAGAGAGAGATGGAGACAAAGATATAAATTATATATATTGTGTATGTATAATGTATGTGCTTTAGGTGGAAGGAATGGGTATATAGAAAATGATAGGGATGGTCATGGTGGTAATAATGGAGGGCTCTGTATGTTTTGTGCGTGTCTCTGTGTGTGTGATCGAGAGAGAGAGAGAGGAGATGTTATAATTAATTTTGAGTTTTGAAATGTTGGATTGGTAGTTAATTAATTGGGTATTAAGGTTCTAAATAATATTTTTGTTGGGTTACCAGACTTTCAAAATGTATCACTTTAGCTACCGAACTTTTTTTTCTCGTATAGATGATCGTCAAAGTTACAAAGTTCACATACTTGTTAGTTGATTTATCAAATTTGGTAATTATGCAATCGATCAATTATATTAATCTCGATGAGTGAATATTTGATGTATTAAAATAAAGAAATTTAAAAAGTTCAGATGAAAAAATTAAAATCGCATATGAAGGTTGTGTTGTTAGTTTACGAGTTCCATATCGCTGAGGCCATCAACCACACACGCATTGACATTAGTCAACTTAAAAAGAAAACTGTTAAATTTACTAAAATATACGAGAAAATTGTAACTAAAATAACTCTGTAAGTTTGGTAATTATCCATGGTAAAAAAAAAGGTGACTAATGTGTTCTTATTTTAAAGTTTGATGACCAAGATAGTTTTTAACCCCTATTTTTGGTAATTGTTTATGATATGTTGTCATCACTTTTCATTTGATTTGAGATAGAACCTAAATGAGAGAGACGTGACATGACATGATTTGTGATTTAAGAAATATAAATAATATTACTATTTTCCTAATACTTTCTAAATATTTTTGTCAATTAATAATTTGTATAGTGGAGATTTAACAACGTTTTCACCTTTCATTGTTATTGTGGACAATGTTCACACCTTTTATTTCTTGGCATTTTCACATTTCATTGCGCAAAAAGTCATTTTCACCTATTTTTTCAATTAAAAATTATGAAATGACAAATATACCCCACTCTTTAAATAAAACAAAAAGGAAAAACAATTAATTGCAATCACAGTCTCAATTTTTTTTTAAAAGCACAAATAAATTATTAAAAGGGTAATTAGTACATAATGTCCATATATTTCATCGTTATTGCGAAAAACGTCCTTACTTTTCATTTTTTAATTTTCATCTTTAATTACACATTTGATTGTGTAGCCACCATTTCCATTAATTTTTATCCAATTTTTCAATAAAGAACTGTGTAATAATAAATATACCCTCATTTAAATAATTTTTTTAATTTCTAATTCTTTAATAATTTAATTGGGACTCGTTTGTACTTTTTTTAAAATAAAATAATTTTTTTAATAATTTACCGTCGACTTGTTTGCGCTTTTAAAAAAAAAATCGGACTATGATTGCAATTAATTCTTTAGCTTTTTATTAAAATAGAAGGTTATATTCGTTATTTCAATACTTTTTATTTGAGAAATTGAATGAAAATGGATAGAAATGGTGGTTTGTGCAATCAAATGTGTAATTAATGGTGAAATGCCAAAAAAAAATTGAAAGGTATGAATTTTTTTTTGCAATAACGGTGAAAGAAGAGACATTGTGTATTAATTACCCTTTTAATAATTTATTTGTGAGTCTGTGACTTATTTGGGCTTTTAAAAAAAATTGAGATTGTGATTGCAATTAATTTTTTTTCTTTTTCTTTTTTGTTTTATTTAAAGAGATGGATATATTTGTCATTTCATAATTTTTAATTGAGAAAATAAGTGAAAAGGACTTTTTGTGCAACGAAAGGTGAAAGTAAGGGCGAAAATGCGAAAAAAATGAAAGGTATAAACGTTTTACACAATATCAATGAAATGTGGGAACGTTATGTGCTAATTACCTTAAGGATTATGTTATTTATTCACTAATGTAGCATGGATTCTTTCATGATTGGCCACCTTCGTCTAGTGTAATTATTTATCAAGTCGAACGAAAAAGAATATACAATTAGAGGTCGAAATGAACCTTAAACAATCTCTAATATGAAAAAGAGCACCAAAAAAAGAAAAAATTTTATTTAGAATGTTACATCTAACAATTGATCATTGTATTAACACTGACATTTGCTAAATAGCCGGGAAAGTAAAATTTTAAAGGATTATTTTTGTACACAATCTTTTACACCATCCTCACATGGAGAGGGGCTCACAAATATTTTATTGTATGTGAGCTCCCTCCATGTGAGGGGGTGTAAAAGATTATGTAAACTATTGTGTACACATAATAGTTCCTAATTTTAAATTACAAAGAAGATAGAGAATGTATTGCATAATTTCAATAACCATGCTTGGGTGAATATTATATCACCTACAACCTGTTCAATAGTTGAGAATATTACTGATAGCATGTTCTCTATACCATTTTAAGTCGTTTTCTGTTTTCGATTTTTCAAAACAGTGAAAACGCGTTCTTTTTCCCGTTTTCGAAAACGCGTTCTTTTCCTATTTTCGAAAACTCTTTTTGGAAAACAAGTTAAAAATTTACAAAGAAAATCCAAAACGACTTGTTTTGGATGTTTTCATTTATAATCAAGTCAAAATTTTCAAAATACGTTTTGGATATTTTCAAAACAATTTTTCAAACTATCAAAAGAACGCATTTTCAACAATCTCAAAAAGACACTCCAAACACAAAATTAAAAATGAATTCAAAAGTCAAAACTGAAATACAAAGAAGAACAACCCCTAATATTTTTGTAATAATTTCGCGAGTCCAAGTCTATTTGTTGACTTAAAGTCAAGATTGTAATTACATCTTGAATAGTTTTTTCCATTAAGAGCACACAAATTTGTCTAAAATCAATATTGATTTTCTTCATAATTTTTACGTATAAACTTCAAATTTCAAGTATGACTACTTTAGAACTAATATTCATATAATTTTACAAGATAAATGGTTGGCTTTAAATACTGTTACTCGACCTCGTCAAGACATCATCAAGTTATAAAAGTCATTAAAAATTTTATTAATTCATTTTAGAAGATATGTTAAATTTACAACTAACCTATTCTAGTGCTATTTCTAGTTCTTTGCATTGTCTTAGAAATCATTGGAGTTGGGCTTGGGCTTGGGCTTGGGCTTGTCCTACTGTCATGGGGAGCCTTGTTTTATGGATATTTGGGCTACTGAAGTTGACAAATGGCTTCCTATAAGCAAATAAATTCCCCAGAATTTTCTTGTATTTCACTATGTTTTCCTTTCACAAATTATTTTGTTGTAGAGGCCCAAAAATTTCGAATAAATTTCTCCTGAACATATATTTAAGAGTAATACTATATGTATCCGACAAATTTACTAAACTTTTTGAATATTTGTACTAAAGTTTGCTTAGCCTTTCACCCACAACTCCAAAAGACTCACTAATGCTTACCAAGCATGTCTCGATTAAAATAGGTTTAGCAACAAAAACTCAAGTTCAAAGAGTAGACATCTTTTAGTCAAGGAATCGTAATTTCATAACTTCCTAATCCAATCTCCAAATAACTTACTATTTGACGTTCAAGCCTCTCGTAACTTTCTGTATTCTCATAGTTAGTCCACCTCCCCTTCGGTTAGGGATGTTAGCGCCAAGCGCTACATGCAAGTCCTTTATAACATATATTTAGTGTCCTAGATTGGAGAGGATGATTAAATTGCGAAGTTCGCAACATGTAAATTTAGTATTTAAACTATCAAATCATGACGTAAAAACTACTTTAGTAGAAAAGACCGATTGTGAAGAGTCGTCAATTGGAAAATTAAAGAAGATCTTACTATAACAAGTCCGGTGACTATATCTAATCCCGTCATCTTTTCAGAAATTCCTCGATCGACATGCAGCCTTATTCACAATTGAGTGCAATGGTTTGAATCTTAAAACCATTGAACAAGGCATGATCATTAAAGGTCCATCTCATGAGTTTATAGGAACTGTGAATAATAAATTTGTGAATTCTATATGACATGTTTGTAACCCAATACTCAATCTAACCCCCTTCTCTAGAACATTGGGTCCCAACAAAAGTCATATGAGCCCACATGTCAGGATGACCATTGTAGTCACCTTACAAGCTACAATTACAACATGGTGGTCCGAGTTCGACCACCACTGGTGGCCCGACAAGATTTAACTTTCATCACACAATGCAAATACAAAATAAATAACCAAATTGCTAGCATTAATATCAAGAAAACACAATCCAAAATGACGAGAACGTGGTAGCCTTTTCCTCTTTCCTTTTAAATTGGGTTTTGAGATGGTCAATCGAAATACTCCTCAAAATAATCTACGTGCAATGCATGTGAAGTGTTGATGGATTCCATTGAGTATGGATTCACGTGTACTGAAATTAAAAGTTGGGACAGCGTACCAAAAAAGGACATGAGTATTGCATTTTGCTAAGAGAATTCCGACTATAATTTTCCTTCTTGTAATGATTTGTTTGTCACATTGGCTGTGGGACCCTTCTTGTGCCACGTTATGTTACATCTATTTAATTTATGAGAAATGCTAAAGGGGGCAGGGCTGGGACCGACCAAAAAACAGGGGGCCGAGGTGGCTTCATCTCGGCCCATAATCTCCTCTGTAATTAGATCCATCACAAGTACTTAAAATTCTTTTATACAATTGAGTTGATTGTGTTCAAAATTTGAAAATACCAACATGCACATATTTTTATGAAGCCCGTTGTTCAAATACATATAAAAGGTGGATAATCATTCCTACTAAACAATTGTAGATTGATAATGAATTACAGATATCGATATCATTACATATTTAAAGATTACAAAAGCTACATGGCACCTCACGCGCTTACTAATTTAATTAATAATCAACTAATAATCTAAAATGATGAAAATTATAGATTTTATGTACAATATGTGTCTTCCTAGTCCCAAGAAATTGCTGCATTTTTTGTAATATGCCGTTCAAAATCTACCCCCTTTTTATCTTTCTATGAAAACCACTCCACCATCAAGGGAGATATCTCAGTTTGGTTCTCATTAAGTTCTTCCAAATCTCGACTTATTTGATCAATTGTATTGTATCAAAGAAAGAAAAAGAAATTAAAATATTGTCTATTGTACTGTCCAGTCTTGTCCTTACTTCTTACCAAACGTGCTCTAATTGTGTATTGGAGGTTTTCTCCTAGCTTGAGAATAATCCATTCCAGCTATATCCAAAACGTCTGGATAAGGCTCTGGCGCAGGCTGTTGTTTTTCAGTTACTGAGGATGAATTGGTAGGGAGATTTTCTTCTGTCACACTAATTTTTTCACTTCTTGATTTGGTATGATCTTTATTTCCTTCAGTCTTGTCATTCTGTACAATGAAAGCTAATCGTGTAAGAGAAAACAAAACATACAAGTTAACACTAAGATTTTAACTTCTTCTTTTTTTTTAATACTGTCTAGTATGATCCAATACTTCATGTTAAACGTGCCAAAAGAGTTCCGATATGAGATTTCGTTGGACTAAACATCGTCTTCCAACTCTGAAAACCCACCTTAGACATGGTGTCACCGCTGGAAATATGGGTAACTGTCTTGGTAATAAGTTTTCCATTCCTTCCTGGAAACAACAAACTCGATAAAATGAGTAAAATATTTTCTTCACATCTTTCACAACAAAACCGGGCTTCCTTAAAATCTTGACAAGTTAGGTTGATCCACAGTCGAAATAAATGATTAGGTTCGAAACAAATGATTCCTTTGTAATAAAATTACCTGAACAGTGCCTGATTTTGCAATGAAAATCCTCTTGGACTCCACCATTATTTCTTCGTTCTGGAACACTTTCCTGAATTGAACAAAATTTTTACTCAGATTAGACTTCACAAGAAGTACATAGAATTTCCTCATTTGGAAGTACTAAAAAATACACAAAAAACAGCCTCTCTCTTCTGTTTACTTACAGGAATATCATGATGATGTCTAGCCGATACAGATTCTCTTGTCAAACGTAAGCCTTCATCAGAATAGGAAAGATCTTCAATACATAGAAATTATGCTGCTATAAAAGAACAGCTTAATGAGTTGTACTTGGTAATTTTGACATACACCATTACTTTTACATACCTTGAGCTTCATGAAGCATTAAAATTAGCAGAGACATAAGCAGCAGCCAGGAACTCATTTGGAGAATTAAAGGGTTTTGACAGAAGGGTCAGAGTTTGAAGAGAGTGGAAAAATGGACAGATTTGGAATAATTAGAGAAGGGAACGTGGCTATGTTTCTTGGTCCTTCCCTCTTGAACTTATTATATACTATTATGTCAGTCTTGTGCTGGTGAATGCACTGCAACTTGTATATCTATATGAAAGGCACACGGAATTTTTTACTTTCTGATTAGTTACACTTAAGTATGCTTAGTTTGATTTTTACGAATATATACTCCACTTTTAAGTTGGATTGATTTAAAAAGGGGGGAGACTCTGGTTCTTGAACATGACATGATATTTGTTGCTATTTGAATATGCAACTTTTGAATTTTCTTTGTTTACCTTTTGATTTCTTCTTTTGAAAAAAAAGAACCCTGACCAATTAACGAGGTGAGATGCACAAGAAAAATATGCCTGAATTATCACAAGGACGAATAATCAATTATGCCAAAGTATGTTGTCAATAGCTTACAACGGATTATAGAGTTGGTGGAGGTTCAAGTCTTTCTAAAACTGTAAGATTGCAAAAATAAAATCTCAACTAGACTAAGGCTGGACAAAACTCCCAAACCCAATCAATCAAGCCGGACTCGAATCGAATTGAACCGAATCGAGCATTTCTTCTGAAGTTAAATACCTGAACAGGTATTTGAATCGAGAATTGATGGGTTCGGTTCGATTCTCGGTTCTAGACAAAAAAACGAAGAACCGAATTTTCCTAATTTTTGTATTCAAAATAAATTAAATTATTTTATTTTTTTCTAAATAAATTTGCTAACTAATTAATTTAGTTCAAACTCAAAATATGATTTTTCCAATTTCTAATTTCCAGCCCAAATCCAATAAATCAAATTGACCTAAATTTTACCTAAATCTCTTATTCTATCGTAGTGTCGAATCTGTCGTTCTGAAGAAATTGAATTGGAAGTCTTCGAAAATTTGGGTTCGATTCGATTTTTTTAAGAACCGAATCGAACCATGTTCAACCCTACGTTTGTATGGATTTACAGTGGGGTCACCTGCCTCACCTCCCACATTAAATTTCAAATGTAAGATTTTGCACGAGATTTTCTAAAAATTCTTTAATAGTTTCAATTTTGCGTCCACAATTAATTTTTTTTTGAAATTTTCACTCCACAATTCTACAATCTTAGCTCCGTCCATGACTATACATGTTTTTAGAAATGACAAGAATATGTGAAGTGTTCTGAATTTTCTATATTTCCAGCACCGTCGAACCCTACCGCGGTAGTTTGTCTCCCTTAAACACAATGCTCCCAAAAAATCAGTAGATCTTCGTGTAAATATGAAGATACATTTACGAGAACTATATATACAATAGACATCCACAACAACAACAACAACAACAATGGAGCAAGGATTCGTAATTTAACTATCAATTTTTTTTTCAAACACAAAATATAATAATAATAAATAAATAAATATATAAAAAATTTCTCAAATTTCAGTGAGATCCATGGACCTTATTTGCCCCCACCTCCCTCCACCACTGGACACCAATGAATGCATTTTTTATTTTTATTTTTTTTTTGAAAAATTAAAACAAAGAACTTAAAATTTGCCAAGAAAAATAAAAAAATTTTTGAGAAACTGTTGAAGCAGTTGAATAGTAAATGCAGTGCGGTTGATTGGATGAATAAAATGAGAGGAGAAAAGAAATTGAAGTGACGGTGACAAACGGGCCCCATTGGGTCACCTTCTTGCCCATACATCGCCCTTTGATGCCGTATTTCCAGAATCCATGTGGACGTCCACATCTGGGCCACTGAGCCACGTGGACACAAAGTCTCCGGCTGTTCTTCTTTCTCTTGTAATTTCAATTTCAGGGACAGGAAAACATCCGATTGGTGACCGTGTATGGCGGGTAGAGGTAACGGGCAGTGGCTCACGAATAGTTTACAATATGCCTTTTATATTTTTCGATAATTATATTTATTCCTCCTTAATAATACTTAGGTAACAATTTTGGCCCCATAAATTTTATAATATTCATTCATCACTACACAACATGCTGTTGATGCGCAATTAGTGTTACTGGACAGTATAATTTTGATATCTTCATGTCTCTTGAGTTTTAAAGATTTGTTGCATAAGTATGTTGAAATTGATGGACCATATGGTTCGTGTGCTGGCTAGATTAATTCGATAATCTGTCTTAAATCTATTTACATGGGTATCCCTTCAAACTCTTCGCAAATTTCATGGCAGGATTTTGCAAGATTCACCCTATAATTTTCTATCGTATGTTTTTTTTTGTGTTGTTGATAAATGCTCAATGATGTTGCTTTTGGTGAAGTTGATAACCAATTTCCAATTTTTAATATATACAATCCACAATATATTACAATTTTACATAGTAATACAAGAATGAATGTTGGGTGATGATCTTGTACGACTTACGAGAAACAAATAACAAAATATGTTGGGTCATTACATGAATTCGGTTACATCATTACGCTCAATTCGTTGTTAAATTTATTGAGAAATCTGTAACAAAAGAATCTTCAGTAACTATCACATGCTTTTAATTTATCTTTTCCCCTTCTAACTTGCTCGACTAAATCGTGATTCACTTCTTTTAAGAATCATGCTACATGTACAATATTGGTTGGCAACATCCTATTTGACATCATCATATCTATCCATTTTAAAAAGAATTATGTTATTTATACCCTATGAATTACACTCTTATTTACCCGACTCCACCCCCTCTCTCACATGGGGTCGGGTCCCACTCACGTGGGACCCGACCCCCATGTGAGGGAGGGGGTGAGTCCGAGTAAACAAAAGTGTAATACATAGTATACATATAGTATAACTCTTTTAAAAAACTGTTTTCTACATCACATACTAGAATTTTGGCAACATGTGGTTGTCAACTATTGTTGTCAACCAATATTGTACATTTAGATTTATTCTTATTTTAATTCCCATTAGTTTGCAAATAAATGCTACCAACCTCAATCCCATACCCAAAAATGCTTTTGTGTCTATATATTTTCTCTGCATGTGTTTGGGGGAAGGAGTTTTGGGTTTTATGAACGGCCACAAACTGAAATACAGGATCAAGAAAATGGGGACCAAAACTGAAATATTTATTGAGTTTCTAACATGAGCAATTACTGCACCAGACGTTGCCAAACATATCATGCACTAATAAATGCTGAGTTAGGCAGAAATTTAATTCAAGTGGGGCCTGCAGATAGTTGGGCATTTAATAACAAGGTTTCAAAGTTGAATGATGTTATCTATCTACATTGTAATTAAGTTGCAGTAATTTTATATGTCATTTTTTATTTAAGAATGTGGCACTTAAATACTTTCAAAATTGAGATAGAGCTAGGGGAGGGGGGGGGGGGGGGGGGGTTCACA